GGTGGAGAAATCGAGCCTATGTAGAGCGATGCAAAACAGAAGGATGAGAATGACGTGATGAAATCACACTCCGGCACCTGAGCAGTCATGCGCATGTCAACGAAAACGCGCCAAACTCCGCATCCTCATTTCCTGACTGACACTGCCTGGCCATGCATGCATCTTGACATGGTGGACAAGCACGCAAAGGCCGACACTGGCCACAGCGAGAACCACGAAACATCCCGATCGAATGGGTTCTCGCCTTGCAGCCGTAACGGCAGGAACTCAAGGTACTCGGACATGGAGCCTATCGCATCCAAAACTTCTGCCGGAACTGTGCCTGGATCTGCGAGATCATCAACGTCTGCCATCCAGCCTCGCATCTGCCATACTGAGCGACCATGGCAGGTGACTACATGAGGCTTCGCAAGCATCTGCAAGTCCGCTGCATACAGCCGCATGTGCACTTGCCGATCGTCCAAGCACGACCCCGCTGAAGTAAACCAAGAGAGCATAGGGCATGCAACGACCGTAGCTTACATAAGCGCCGGCACTTGCAGACTGGAAGCTGGATGGGCAGGAGAAGCTTGGTGCGGGGACCTGTCTGAAACGCGGAGCTTGCTCCGAGCCAGACGCCACCAAAGGCACATAGACTCCAAGCAGATCACGAATGCCTACTCCTCCTCCTGCTGCTGCTGCAGCTACTGCTGCTCCTACGCTTGCTACTGCTACCACGGCCTCTACTACGTACTTACTACTACTACTACTACTACTACTACTACTACTACTACTACTACTACTACTACTACTACTACCACTACCACTACCACTACCACTACCACTACCACTACTGCTACTACTACTACTACTACTACGACGACTACCACTACTACTACTACGACTACCACTACCACTACCACTACAACTACCACTACCACTACCACTACAACTACCACTACCACTACCACTGCCACTACCACTGCCACTACCACTGCCACTACCACTACCACTACCACTACCACTACCACTACTACCACTACTACTACTACTACTACTACTACTACTACTACTACTACTACTACGACAAGTACAACTACCTAGTAGTACTAGTAGTACTAGTACTCCTAGTAGTACTAGTACTACTAGTACTACGACAAGTACTACTACTACAAGTACTACAAGTATTACAAGTACAAGTACTACTACTACTACTACTACTACTACTACTACTACTACTACTACTACTACTACTACTACTACTACTACTACCACTCCTCCTCCTCCTGCTGCTGTTCACTGCTACTGCTATTGCTCCTACTGCTACTCCTACTCGTACTCCGATTCTCTTTCGAAGCGACCTGTTTTTCAAGGCAGAACCAGGTGTCGACGTCCCTGACCGTTTGCGGAGCAAAGCGCAACCCATTTTCAGCTTCGTAAGCGGTTGAAGCTTCATGATCGGCAGAAGTCACCGAGCCGCAGCAGAGCTGCAAGTATTCCGGCAGTGTATTCGTACACATCATATACATGTCTATGCATACTTCTTTGCTCGGTGTTTATGTTTATCTGAGTGTCGATGCTCACGTGGAGCATGCTATATGTGTTGACTCGTTCATGTTACAACGATGACTGGTCATGATTCGGCAATTACACAGCCACGTGGCATCCCGGCTTCAAACTGGCCGTTCGGATCAGCACCGGCTGCAACATGACAGATGCGTGGCGCCGGTGCTGAGTTAAACGACCAGCTTGAGGCTTGGATGCCGTGTCGTTGAGACTGTGCTTTCGGGATACACAAGGAAGCCGTTTGCATAAACAAGACTGTGCACATATAGACCACAAGTTATAGGATAGTTAAGGGCAGTAAAGAGGACTTCATGATTTCAGAACCTTCATGTTTTCGAAATACCGGGCCACCTAATGCTGGCTGCCTTGTTCGCTACGGTTGAGCAGCACAAGGACACAGTTTGCATCAATAGGTGTCGTTGCTTTGTTGCGAGCTCGAGTGGTGAGCCATCAAGTCCTGGTATATGGCATATTGTCATATGCTGGAGGTAGCAAATGCAGAGATGCACACTCGGCTGCACCGATCACGCGCAGGATCTGAATCCGCTACTTCTCCCAGTCCCTGGCATGCGACAGTGAAGCCCCGGCCACATTTGCAAAGGCTTAATGCTTCGGGACGACTTCTGTGCAACTGACTTTAAACAGAATGTTTGGGCCTGGGGTTCTCGGGGCTGAAGACTCATGCAGAGACTGTCAGGACGTTCGAGTACAGAATCAGAACATTTGATGCGCGGCTTGTCGTTTTCTTACGTGAGCGTCTGTGTGAGGTTTCCGAATTGCTTAAGGCTTCGGGCGGGGTCGTCAGCTTTCGCTCTTCGGGCCCGAAGGAAGCAGCAACCGACTTCGAGCTGCCTATGTTATGTGTTATGTGACACGAAACTCGAACCAAGCTCGCCCGCATATATACATTCCAGCGCGCTGGACGGAAGCGAGGAAGGCGAAGGAAGAGACAGAACCAAAAGAGCGATGAGGGTCATGGGCTTACGACACGTTGCACACCAAAGGTCAAGCATCCTGAACGTCTGGTTCGACGCCTTCATGGTGTGGTAGGCATGCTTGTCGAAGTTGCGGAGGAGCTTGCGGAGAAATCCTATCCAATCCACGAAATCACCGAGAAGAAGCTTCATACGTGTGCTGACAGCATGTGCGTCACATGCACACACACACATATATATATACACATGCATCTGCATATACATACACATACGCACACAGACACACGCACACACACACATATACACATACACACACATAAGACTAATATTAGTATTACTATAAGTATTAATATCAATATATACATATATCTATATATATATATGTATACACATTCACATACCTCCTCTCCAACATGCTGGAAACTCTCCCCCCCTGTTTGAAGGATGCCTCTCCAGTAGGTGACCTTGCGTCGCGGAAGAACCTCCACCTTTGTCTTGACGTGAGAGAAGGCCTAAGTGAACACGAGCATTCATAACGTCGAGACGTATTCTGGAGCCTCGAAGCATCAAGTTTTTGCCTGAAACCACCGTGACACAAAGCCAAGACTTTCCGAGTTCATCATGTATGCAAAGGTCCTATAGGCCTCTAGGCCCTAGGCCGTTGGGCCTAGCACCTACATCACGCTGCAAGCCGAAGACTCATCTCCCGCTACCGCTACCATTTTCACAGGAGTCTGCTCTTTTCTGGGGCCCGTGCGTCCTTCAACAGGTTCCCCTCCCAAAGCCCATCCAGCAAGCGGAGGATCTTATGGTCGAAGTCATTGCGGCGTAGAACCTGCTGCCGTGACGGCGGGTACTCAACGATGCCTGTCGGGTACTAGGACTGAGGGTTCCTTTGTGCGGACACTATACAAGTTTATACAAGTTTCTGTGCTTCGCCTCCCGGGTTCCAGTCTGTTGGGCTCAACGCTTCGATGGCTCGGAAACGGCTCTTTGAATAGTCTTTGACAAAGGACCAGTGTGGACCTGGGCAAAATGTGAAGCCGCAGTCCTCCAACTCTGAAGGCACCCAGCCCACAACTTATCGCAGGAGAAACCCTCAGCAACAAACGATGCCATTTCCGTGATTGCTCTCTCCAAGCCGCTGTGTGTTGGATGAGGTCGTCAAGCAACTGTCTGTACGGCTTCCTGCGGGCCAGCAGATGAAGCTTCCAATGATTCCAATGTTCAGCTCCAGCTCGCGAAGTCTAGACCCAGGATTGGAAGCATCAAGCCCGGAGTTCAAAGAACCCCGGTGTCAGGGAACCTTGAGAAGCAAAAAACCATGGACATCCGTTCGCAGGTGCCAGCTTTCCCACGTTCTGCACTCAATCATGCAGGACAGAGACAAGACCGCAACCCGGCACAGGGCAAAGTGGCCAAAGTCCAAATCTCTGAACCCGTCTGAACCCCCTCCAGGCCGCTCCTGACTGGCGGGTGACTCGTATGCTTACTTAAAGCTAAGCCTCAGTAAGATCACTAAGTTGAGGTTATAAGCTAAGGTAAGTCCATGTCCGAGTCACCAACCAGCCCCGTTGACCTTTGGTCCTCGCACCTAGCTCCATTGCAAAGTTATTATCTGGATCTTCATACATGTTGGAGACAGATTGACGGTGATGAAAAAAGACTATGTACACTTGGCAAGGTTTGTCAAAACACGAGTCAGTTGCACGCATCTACTCGTGGCACAAAGGGGTGTGCCGCCGAACCACAACACTCACGTGCACCCATCTACTCGTGGTGGCCAAGCGGTTTGCTCCGCCGAACTACGCCGCAACTCCTCAGTCACGCCAGTCGTTCCACCACGACACGATGCGTGCACAAACAGGCTCTTCGACGCCCGAACCATTTCGCCATTCAGGAAGTTCGAGTCAAGGACTTTTGGGGCCGAAACATGTGGCTCCAGACTTGCGGAACGCAAATCTCGAACACCCGGTCGGTCCTCCCGGACAAGGCAGGAATAGCCTTGCAATTGGGGCCATCGGCCGTGGCCCATCAGCGTAAACCAAGCGGACAATGAAACGACAAAGGAAAGCACAACCGATGCAGCTCAGGTGCGGCCCTCGCCAAAGCCGTAGGCCTTGTATTTGACGCCCGCGCCAACCCATTGCTTCACAATGTTGCGGACCTGCCCAAATGCCAACATCATGTGCTCTCAGCCGAAGACACATTCAGTGTGGAATAATTCTCCAACAATGGAACCAACCCAAACACAACTTTGACATGAAGAACACTTTGTGACCACCAACTGTTCCGCGCTCGCACCGTGCAGTGGTGCAGCGTGCCGTGCTCGATTGGCAAGATTTTACTCAAAGACGTAGCCTGAACACTGGGCAACTTCAGCATGAATGCAAACCGACCCCCCCTCCCCCTATACTGAAAGGACGCCATCGCGTTCATCCATCATCATCATCATCATCACCACCAGCCCCAACGCCACCGCTGCCGGCATCAACACTGCCTCCAGTCGCTGTGCAGTACTCATCGGCTCGAGTCGCATAAAGTTCGAGTCCGAGAGGGCGAAGTCACGCACGGTCCTTTCCAAGCATTAGATGAGCTCGCATTTCTGCCATCAGCTTACCGTCACACCAACAAACAGCACCAACAAATCCTTGCCAAGACCGAGGCACTTAAAGACCGCAATGCGGAAGTCGACCTCGCACCAACTCCGAGGGGCAGGGATTAGCTGCACATCGTTTGTTTAAGATTAGCATCTAAGGGCTCAGGACTTGTAGAGTTTAGGTTCCAAGGATTATAGGGTTTGGTTTTGGTGTGTCTGGAGCACTGCTCTCCCTCTTACTCTCGCTGTCCAATTCTTCTCGGGCCGTCCGCAGGCAAGGGGAAGCATTGTGTGTGCACCCGTCCGGCCTTCTTGGCCGGCGGGTGCTTCGCAGGCGGAAAGGGAATTCCAAGCGCTTTGGCCTGTCCGCAGGACAAAGGATGTCTTCAGCGTGCAAGCCCTGAGGACGAAGAAAGCCGGATTTTTCTTGGTTGAGGTGCACTTTCTCAATCGAGTCTACCTGTCAAGGACAGGGTACCATCTGTTGACCCCCCAACTCCTGAAGCCTGCAGCTGCAAATGCAATCCAAATGCAGGAACTTTACCTTATCTCTCAGATCACTGACCACTTATAGAACACCAGGTGTCGAGTTTCGAGCTGAACTCTGAACGAGTCGCGTATCAAGTTGGTCTCTTTTTTGCATCAAAATGGTCTTTTTTGATGTCTCGGCTCACACAGTGCATAGTCTCGGCCATATCACGGTCACTGTGGGGCGGCTACGAAAGAAGACATAATTTCAGGCTCCTAAACCCTAAACCCTAAAGCCTAAACGCAAGTCTCGGCCGAGTCTCGGCTAACCCTACAGCCTAAACCCTAATCCCCAAACCTAAACCCTCTTTAGGGTTTAGGGTCTAGGGTTTAGGGTTTGCGGGTTAGTGTTTCAGGGTTCAGGGTTTAGGGTCTAGGCTTTGGGGTTCAGGGTTAAAGGTTTAGGGTTTCGGCGCTCACACTCGGACAAACCAGGCGAGGCATATGGTTCGGAGTCTGACGATGTGAAACCTTCTAGAGGGACAGTCAAATGACCATTAGGGTTTAGGGTTTACGGTTTCGGCGCTCACACTCGGACAGGGTTTACGCTTTAGGGTTAACGGTCTACGGTTTGGGGTTGAGGGTTTGGGGATTAGGGTTTAGGCTGTAGGGTTAGCCGAGACTCGGCCGGGACCCGGCCGAGACTTGGGTTTCGGCTTTAGGGTTTAGGATTTGGGAGCCTGAAATTATGTCCTCTTTCGTAGCCGCCTCACTGACTCACAGTGACCGTGACGTGGCCGAGACTATGCAAGGTGTGAGCCGAGACATAAAAAAGAACATTTTGATGCAAAAAAGAGACCAACTTGATAGGCGACCCCTCTGAACAGTAAAAGTGTATGTGCACAGTCGTCACTACTTGATTTTAAAGGCCTCCCCTTCCCGTTCCCGGCCGCTGCTGACAAGCAGGTGACTCTTTTTTAAGAATGAAAGTAGGATCTGTAAACTTGTTCTAAAACTTTAACTGCTCTATTCTTGAGTCACCCGCAAGCCCCGCTGACCTTTGCTCCTGAATCTTAGGGAGGATGCACCCCGGTGCAGCGAATCCAGTGAGGAGGTTGGGCCTTGGTGACTGCTGGATTTTCCATGGAACCCCAAAGGCAGGCTGGTTTTGGATGTCCGGCTGACAGGGCTCACACGCACCTTGACCTCTAAGAACTGCGCTCTCGCACTCGGACTTGGGGTTCTTACGGCAGATACACGTTGAATCAAGGAATGCATGACACTCGCAGCCACACATCAAAACTGGAGCAACAACTCTGAAACCGGCAAAGATGCCCCCAAGGCCCCGGGCAGGTTCTCCGTGGGCCGTGTTGCCTTTGGAGGTTTCGCCAGCGCAGAACATGCTGATCCCCGCAGTCTAGCCCCCTTCTCGCAGGTGGCCTTCGTAGGCTTAGAAGTCTTCTCCTTTGGCAAAGCCTGTAGGCGAAACACGCGTAGCGAGAAACGCTCCAGCACGTGAGAAGCGTCGGCACCTTGGATTTGAGCATATTCAAAGTCACCCAAGCATCGTCCTGCTTGGGGTAGCCGTGGTAATGGACCTGAGGATGCGAAGGAGGGGAGGCTGCTCTCGGATCATTGTCGGCCCCCGGACCTTCACAGGAGCCTTCTTCTTCTTTGGGATGATGATGACGATGCTGGCCGGGTAGTATTGACCTAGGACTGCTCGCAGCCGGAGACCTAGGCTGATGCCATGACACCATGAAACCCAGCAGCCATCCTCTCTGTACATCGCATGCAACTTCAAGCCGACGTAGAGGTTCTGCACCATGGCGCTCCTGTAAGCAGGAGGGCATGAGTGCATGTGAGGCTCCCGCGTGCGCAGTCACAGGTGAGGCAAAACGTCCTGCGCGGTGTCAATCGACCAGGCCTGCGAAAGTGAACTCGATTGGTGTTCAACCAAAGTATTTGTGGTCTGTCTTCGTCTGGTCTTTGGTTCATCACGCGAGGATCTCGTGAATGGTAGAACCCTGAAGTTGAGGAGCCACAGAAGTGAGAGATAGTGAGAGATCCACTGAACACTTGGCACTTCAACCTGAAAGTTCCTTGGAAACTCCTATCAGGCTGACACCGGATACCTCGGTGTTTCTGCGAGAGGCTTGAGATATCCACAGGACCTAGTCTTCCGGACGGGCCTCAACAGCCTGCCTGGCAAACGGCGAGGACTTGAGCCCAATGGCCACAGAAACCGAGATCGGCTTTAAGGGATTGTCGGGACAATGCCTGCGCTGTATTTTGACAGAAACTCCGAGCTCCATTCATCTTCTGGCTCAGACTCGGACTCGACGTCTGCGCAGAACTACAACTAAGTAACTAATGTCTGTGTCCACTCCTATCGTTCTACCTCCCTTCAAATTGACTACTTATTCAAGGCACCCGTTCGGTTCAGAAATTCGCAGAGCCGCTTAGGCACTCCAAGACTGTAGTTTCAATCGCGCACCTTTTTGGGGGTTTCACCCTGGTTCGGCCGAAGGGTGAGGTTCCTTCTGACCTCAATCGGAGCTCTTCCCCTCTCTCTGCGGCTCTCTTTCTCTTTGTATCCGGGACTAGAGGCTGCCAAGAGCTTCAGGAACGTAAGACTGCGGGGGCTCCGCAGGGACTGCAGAGTGCGAGGAAAGCAGGATTGCAGGATCTACGAGGGGGTTTGAGTTTGAAAGTTTCCACGAGCAGTGCCGTGACTGCAACCACTAGGACGACAGAATTTCGTTCGACGCACAGCGCATCAGCGAACACAAGTGCAACCAGCAATTGATGTTAATCCTGCTTAGCCTTGAGTTTGCGGAGTATCGCACCGCACTGCCACAGAGACGAAGATCATCCCGTCGGGCTATGCCCAGCCATTGCTTACGAAGTAGTTGCCCAGGTGCGTCGATGGCCGAAACTTCAGGAAGTATCTTGAAGCCTCGACACTCTAATGAATGCTGTGCAGCCTCTGAGACAACATGGGGACAGCTGCAACCCCCGGGCATTTCTCTTGAACCTTTACCCTTGGCACTTCCAGGCAAATGCCTGCGACGTCTTTACGAGCATGCGAGAACATTGCAAAGCTCGGGGGTTCTTTGGCGATTTGGAGCTCTTCGGCTTTGGAGCATGGAATTTTCACGCAAGAGGTGAACCTGTGGCACTCAGCCGGCTAAGTTGTGGCCTCATCCAGAGCACGTCTCCATTGCAACTGCCAACACTTCTGGCAAGTGCGCCTGCCGTGGAATGTCTCCTGGCCTTCCCTTCCCAATGATTCACAACGGTCACCGAGGCCAAAGACTTTCGACTCGCAGGCGGGCTGACCGTCGGGAGGTATAGCCTCAAAGCTCGGAGCGGTGCAAGAACTAATGGCTGCGCTTGTCATGCCAACTCGGAGACTCGGCACAAGGTTACAGCCCGAGCTACAAGTCGCATAGAAAGTCTTTCCGGCAATGGAAAATTCTCCGGAAGACCCTTTGTCGCTTCCACTTTTGCGACCGTCTTGGGGGAGCCAAGCATAAACTAGTATAAGCAGAACGTGGTACATTGCCCGAGAACTTCTGAATCCAGGCCGGTAGACCCAAAACAGCCAAGCCGTCGCAAAACTGCGTGCTCTGACATGTTCCTCCAAGCTGCTAAAGTCTCGTCTTGCCCCAGCTTCCAGACATGGAATCGTCGCCCAATGCTGACCCCTGACAAGACACTCGGGCTTCAGCAAGCTACCCAAGCAATAGTTACAAAACAAGGTAATACACACTTGGGCAATCTAGCTTCTGGAAGCCACGAAGCCAACAGGCAATCTTGCAAAAAGATGTAAATGTGATTTAAAGCCATTCTTGGTCAGTGTATCCCTGTTGATGCTGTGCAGCAGATTGCTAGCAGCTCTCGCAACTTCATATTCGGTGTACTGCTGCTATACAGACAACTGCCAAACACTGCTAAATAATCCACAGCGTCAAACCGATAGCCCCGGCGTGCCTTCACCACGAGGTGGCAGGGCTCTATGGCGTAAAGGCAGTGCTACGGGTCGATGCAAGTCTATCATCTGGTGTTGACCTCAGGACATCTAAGATGCTGGATCAGGAAGCACGCTGGTCGCTAACCTGTCATCTGCGCGAGTCTCGAAACTTCACCATCATTCCCAACATGTAAGCTGTGAGCCCAGACCCTGATCAATGTTAGGCCTTATAGAGAGGACGTCATTCTCGCCAAAAAACTATGGAAAGGCTTATGCCGCCTCATCCGCTCAGAACCACATTAAGCTGGCTTGCCCTAAGCCCTGAACTCTTCTTTTTCGTGCGACTCGACTTTGGCAGTCGCGACGTGGAAGGAAAGCAACAGGGACGCTCCAGTAAAGGCCGCAGACCGAAAAATACAACACTACAGACTACAGACTATATCTCCACACCCTGCTGGCGGAAGCAACGAGCATCTTACGGTCCGTTTAAGATCCCCAACCTCGTTCGTTCAGATTAGCACAGCAAGACGACGCCCCCAAACCAGCGCAGCTTACTTTCAAAGCTGAATAAACCATCGCCGAAAACATTGCCTTGGTCGCAGTTCGGCGGCTGAGCCTAGGTTTGATCAAAGCAGCCAAGGACTTTTGCGAGCCGAGCCCAGATTCTGGAAGCTTACGCGAAGAATTCTACACAACTGTCACAACTGCTCTTGAACAATGACTTTATAACTGAACCCACGCGTGCATGGCAATCTCAGGTGGGACAAGTATGGGGAGGGAATCAACAAAAATACTGGCCCGAGGAAGACGAAGCGGATGAATGGAACAAGAACAAGTCAAAGGCAAAGTTCGAGTTTTTGGAATATGCAGTCGAGATTGATGCAGACGAGATCGCCGATAATTTCGCTGCCCCTCTCAGCTGGGACCCACGCAAAGCCGGCGCAGGACACCTGAACTGAGAGTGAGTTTGACCCACAGGGCGAGGAGTACCTAGAAATATAGGTCTCTTGATTCGTAAGGGTTCGTATCGTGACTAGGTCTCAGTCATCATGAAATGGTGGGTTTTGTTTTCAACTCAGGACCTACGCTGCGCGTGCTAGCCTAATAGGTCGCTCGAGGTCTGAGGGGCCGAAGGCTTCTGCTCGTATCCCCTTCCAAACAAAGCCATGTGTTTGTGAGAAGTGTCGGTTGGAAGGATTCGAGTTGATCGGACCGGGCTTTAAGAGATCATCTATGCACCTTCCCGGAAGCTCTAGTCGCTGTCTGGTCGCTGTACTCGATTGAGACGGTACTATACTGCGTATGTCCTGTCCGAAAGAAAGAAGACGGTCTCACTTTTTGACAGGTACGAGTCCGTTGATGCTGCCGCGAGGACGACTCTCCAGACCCAGCTGCTGAGCTGAATGAATTTGTCCCCTTGTTGATGACCCCAGTCCGCTCTGAAATCCTGCTCCTAAGTGTGGTTGCTTGAGGATGCTACAGAAGCTGACCACCACCTGGACAGCTTTGAGCAGCATGGCAGTGACCTCAACGCCGTGTTGGCGCCATGGAAGGATATGATTCTAAGCTGCTCCATCCATGTTTGGGATGCAAGACTGTGTCACAAGCCATGCTTACAAGCCTCTCTGAAAGCTGCAAACAAGGTTGGAAGACAAACTCGCTCAGACATGCAAGATTGCTCAGAAAGCGTCATGTCCTGAGGTGCATGTTGCAGCCTTTACAACATGCCTGCTAGCGACCATGTTGACAATTCTGAAACAAAGGTGCCACTACTCAATTGGCCTGGAAGCCCGCCCATAATCTAGGTGCTTAAATACTCGTTTGGAGCTCCATGTTACTATCTACCAGCACTGCTACCATTATGAGTATTGACAGTCCTTTCCGTACTTTTATAAGCAAAGCCACATCTGGCGTGGCACCGAACGCTAGAGTGAAAGCTAAAAGCAAGGCCAAGGCCAAATCCACGGCAAAGCTAGGGGATGAAGAAGATCTGTCGACGCCTAAGCCGCGCAGAGGCAAGCAAAGAGGCTTTCCAAAGCAGGGCTCAGGTGGGCTGCCAGCCTTCAGAATAGCCCTGTTGCCCTAGCAACGGTGGATCCGCGAATTCGGTGCCTGCTGCCCCTGGCGAGCCATCCTTCTGCGATACTGATATTGCAAGTTTTGGGGGCACATGCGGTGTGGCAGGCAGCTGGGCAAGATCTTTAAAGACGTTCTGCCCGGCTGCACATCGCAGTTGCTGCAACATTGCGCATACATGGTTCATATGTTGCCTGCATGAAAATGTGTTGCACTCATCGTGCTGCTGCATGCGTATTCATGTTCACCGTGATGCAGCTGAGCTGTGAGCAGGTCGTGAGCCTCCATCTGCAGTGACGAAGTCGCTGGCCCTGGCACGAACTGTGAAGCCGATGAAGAGATTGTTGGTACGGCTATCGCGAAAAGTTCATGCTCGCAGCACCACTCAAAGAACTCTGGACCGGTTATATAGTAAAGATGTATAGTGAATTTCAGGGCATCTGGTGCCACTGGGCATAGACGAATGTAGGTTTTGTCCCGCAGCACATCAGAATCCCGAGTTGACCTGCGCACCCGAAGTAGCCGAAATTACTCAAAGTCACACCGAAGATTCTCGATCCTGCGACCCTACTCGGACATGCACCTCTTGCTGCAGCTGAAAACATCTCCATCATCAATTCTCCAGAAAGGCACGCGGCATTCTGGTCTACATAAGCTACTATGAGGCAATAAGGGTATTAAGAGTGTATATAGACATGTTTGAAGTCTGATGTGTTGGTGCACGGTTCCAAATGAGGATTAATCCTTTGACCACCGCCTTGGTTCGTGTTTGCGGG